TAATAGTGTTAAATCTGTCGGGAATCCTCACCACATCCAACAGAACGAGCTGTTAGTTTTAATTCTTTGCTTATAGACACCCATATTTCAGGCCTCAAAAGGAGAGCAGAATTGCACTCTTACAGGGCATGGTTTCTACAGTCCTACATGTTCAATTAACCATGGAATTTCTCTTCCAGAGAAGAGAAGTTGTTTGGCCAATTTGGCCCCCTTTTGACCTACTCCACTTTGTGTGTTTCATCTTATTCTGAAAGAGCAAACATAAGTGCAAATGTCCTAATAAAGTAACCCATTAACCTTTGTCATATCTCTTTTACTCATCTTGGCCTTATTTCTGGCTTTATGATTGCGTTGCCCAGGAGAACAATCAGAACTGTTGAGTCAGGGTTTAAATTGGAGAAGCTTCATAACCTCACATTTTTATGGCAGGACATGTTATTTGTCTATAGACAGAAAGTTCTTTTGTCCAGGAAGCAGAATCTTGATTTTACTGAATTCTTAGGAAAATTTGCTGTTGACTCCAGTACTGGATATTAACTGGAAACTGTAACAACGTATTTGCTTGTAGCATGAATAGCATCATTTACATACTTTCTATAATCCTTTGTCTTAGAAATGAGTGGACATGAGAAAATAAATGGTGATTTATATTCTGCATTAACTCTCTTCCTCTTTCATGGAAGTTAACAAGAATATTAGCTGCTGCATAGAGTTCTATTTCAGAAATTCCTCAACAACTATTTCAAGTCACTCTAACTTTTATTTTCTTGTTTTGAAAGGGCAGGAAGAATTAATTTGTAGTTCTGTTCTTCAAAACACTGTATTTCCATTTACATAAAGAAATAAAACTTGAGGATGCTTGTCTCTTCTACAGAAACTGACTTTAGTTCTGGAGAGCTCAGTTTAGTGGGCTGTCTTATGTGTAAGGACCAGTACAGGATGGAAATCCCTGTCTCAGTGAGTCTCCAAACCAGCCTTTCAAACCTAGTGGCTTGTCTATTATGGATAAAAGCTAGAATTTTCTATGACCGTCCAATGTTTGGAATCACACTACATAGCACTACATTTTAAATAATAAGTTCTACAGAAAGAAAGAAGTTCAAAGTTCTTATATAGGAAATGCAAAAGGTACCTAAGTGATATTTGAATATAAAAATATGTAAATAAAAATAAATATTAAAATAATGCAAAAAAATTTGAATTCAAACTCCTTGGTGTTGAACATTAAAATGACATCTGCTACTCCAGGGCCAGGTAGAAAAAGAGTACTGTGGACCTGTACTAAAACTTTAAAGTTCTCTGCTGAAGTTATTTAAAGAAAAAGGGACTGTTCCCTAAGTATATTTTGTGTTGGGGTCAAACCTGTTGTCTCTTCTATGGTTTTGTCAGAACTCATGTTTTTGTGGATTTAAGTTCTGGACATAGTTAAGATCATGCCTCTATTCAAATTAGCAAGGCTTTGTCACCAGAATGAAAGAAGAAATAATTTATACATTATCATGGTGGTTTCAGGGGTAGAAAAAACAGCAAGGTGATCCATATATAGACTTCTACTTTCTTTTAAAGTCCTCTTGTGTTGAATTATACAGCATATCTCTGATTGTGCTGGTTGCTGACTAAAAACACTTTCCCTTGTAGGATTGGTCCTGTGATGCATGTAGCTGTGGCCAGTGAATGAGCCCATATGCTCAGTGAAAGCAGTCAAAGATTAGTAGTGCAAGGAAAATGTTTCTTTCTAGTAATTTCAAGGGGTTCTACAGCTCTGTGTTCCAGAAGGAGTGAAACTTCGCACAAAGCTATGTGTGGAAGAGGGGATTAACTGGCAGCCAAGAAACAAGAAAGCAATTAGAAACAACTCACTGTCATTTCTGTGTACTTTTGGCAGCATTTCAATATTCCAACAAAAGCAGTAAATAACATAGCTGGGTCCTCAATTACTATGCACTATCTAAAGAATTGTGTACCTTTATTGGTGGGGAAAAATGAGACAAGGTTGGAAGATGTTTGAATCACATACCTTATAGGGAAAGTTTTGATCTATAAGTGTTGTGTTCAAATTGTGCGAGTTTACTCTGCTAGAAAGGATTTTTAAAAGCATTTTTTTTTCTTTTGGAAAGAAGTTGAGGATTTTTCAATATTTGGGGGGTCCCTTACCCCTTTTCGCTTCTTAATAAGCCAAACCTTTATACCCAAAGGGTTTTCAAGATCTAACTGTTCCTTATTTTGACTAGGGAGTTAGGGTGACAAGGAAACATTAGGATAAAAAGCCGGTAGAAATTCTATCTGATGAAACATGCGTACATATATTACATATATATGTATGCACGCACACAGACATCATCATCTGCAGTTTTGGGTACCATGTTATATGAAAGACATAAATTAAGATGGTCAAGGGCCTTGAGGGGATGCCATATGAAGAGCAGTAGAGGTCATTTGTCTATTTCAGCCTGGAGAAAAGTCTGAGGGAAGACCTCATTGCAGTCTACAACGTCCTCATGAGGGGAAGAGGCAGGGCAGGTAACAACCCCTTCACTCTGGTGACCAGTGAGAGGAATTGAGGAAATAGCCTGATACAGAGTCAGGGGACATTTGGTTTGAATATCAAGAGTAGATGTTTCATACAGATGGTGGTTCAGCCCTGGAAGAGGCTCCCAAGGGAAATGGTCACAGCACCAAACCTGACAGAGAGTTCAAGATGCATTTGGACAACTCAGGTTGTCTCAGGTGTATGGAGTAATGCTTGAGGGTGTCCTGTGCAGGGCTGGGAGTTGGACTTTGGTGATTCTTGTGGGTCCCTTGCAAATCAGGATATTCCATGATTACTTGAATTGATATTGTGTATATATATGTACACTATTTCCAATCAGTGCACTAACAACTGAAAGTAATGTTGTGGTATAATTATGAGTTACTTGTCCAAGTTGTAAGCAATTATTTTATCTTTTCCCTCTATCCAGTGTGGGTGTTGAGTCATAAGTTTAGATATCCTTCAATTTTTCCTTTAGTTAGTCCTCCTTCTTTGTGAGTTGTTTGATCCTTTTGTCTAAACTTTCCATCTTAAGAGTTTTGTCACTGAGCCTTTAGTTTCACACCTTTATCTCAAAGATAATTACTGAGTCTACAGTCTTAGAAGGAAACAGTCTGTTTGCAGAAAGGTTTTTAAGATAAAAACCTTTCTCTTGCCTATGGCTTAACTAGGTCACAGAGATGTGCTTTCATCTATCTTTGGAAGAAGGCTTATCCAGCATGGAGCTTCCTGAAATAGAAATAGGAGTGTATTTAGTGCTCCACTCACCTTCATGCTCTCCACCCAGCATTTCCAAGAATGATGTTATAAATAGAATCAGCATGTCACAGATGATAGAGGGAAAATGTGTCTAGTTTTCCAACCAAACCTTTGCCTGGTTGGTTAGATACTTGCATGCAAACACACACATTCATGTAAGTGCATCCCTCAGGAGGGCTGCAGAGAAAACTGGAGAGGCCAAAGCCCAACTTTAACTTAATCCAGCTACTCCCACAAAAAATAGTCCAAAATGTTTCCATATATACATGCACATAAAAAAGAGAGCCAAGGAGAGTTTTCATTCTTTGTTGGATGTGGGGTGAAACTTAGTGTTGAATGATGGGGAAAAGGCTGTGGTACTTTGTGCCTTCTTTGCTTCAATCTTACATAGGCAGACCAGTTGTTCTCAGGATGCTCAAGCATCTGAGCTGGAAAACAGAGACAGGGAACCAGATAAATGAATCCACCATACTCCAAGGGGAAATAGTCAGCAACCTGCCACAACAATTAGACCTGCACAAGTCTGTGGGACTGATGGGATCCATCCAAGGGTACCAAAGGGAGCTGGTGAAAGTGCTCACTGAGCTGCTTTCCATAATTTACTAGCACTCCTGGATGTCTGAGGAGGCCCCAGTTAACTGGAGGTGGGAAAATATGGCTCCCACCTACAAGAAGGGTTGGAAGGAGGATTGTGGGTTAGCTCATCCTGAGTGCCATCACACAGACTGTATAGAACAGTTCAGCAGGGGATCGGGCTCAGCCAGCATGGGTTTGTGAAAGGCAAGTTCTACTCCCCCAACAGGAACTCGTTTTATGACTCACTTAGTGGAAGAAGGAAAAGCTATGTATTCTGTCCTCCTGGACTTTAGCAAAGCTTCTCGCACCATTTCCCCACATCATTCTCCTGGAGAAACAGACAGCTCATGGCTTTATGGGTGCACTGTTTCCTATATAAAAAAATGCCAGGATGCCCTGTTCTGGAGATTGGTAGTGAATAGTTACATCCAGCTGGCTGATGACACCAGTGATGTTGTCCAGGGGTCAGCACTGGGCCCAGCCCTGTTTAATATCTTTATTGATGAATGTGGGGTTCAAGCATACCCTTGCTAAGTTTGTGGATTACCCCAAGCTGGGTGGGAGTGCTGACCTGCTGGAGGGCAGGAAGGCTCTGCAGAGGGATCTGGACAGGCTGGATCATGGCTGAGCCCAGTGGTGTGAGGTTCAACAAGGCCCAGTGCTGGGTCCTGCCCTTGGGTCACAGCAAGCCCAGGCAGTGCCACAGGCTGGGGCAGAGTGGCTGCAAAGCTGCCCCAGGAAAAGGCCCTGGGGGTGCTGGTGACAGCAGCTGAGCATGAGCCAGCAGTGCCCAGGTGGCCAAGAAGGCCAATGGCATCCTGGCCTGTGCCAGCAATGGTGTGGCAGCACGAGCAGGGCAGGGATTGTTCCCTGTACTCAGCACTGGTGAGGCCACACTTCAAATCCTGTGTCCAGTTTTGGGTCCCTCACTCCAAGAAAGACATTGAGGTGCTGGAGCATGTCCAGAGAAGGCCAATGGTGCTTCTGAAGGGTCTGGTTCACAAGTCTTGTAATGAGTGACTGAGGGAGCTGGGATTGTTTCGCCTGGAGAAAAGGAGCTTCAGGGTAACATTATCACTCTCTACAACTGCCTGTAAGAGGTTGTAACCAGGTGGGTATTTGTCTCTTTTCCCAGGTAACAAGTGATAGGACAAGAGGAAATGGCCTCAAGTTGTTCCAGGGAAAGAACCGCTTCACAGAAAAAGTGGTCAAGATCTGAAGCAGGTTGCCCACAGAAGTGATGGAGTCACCATCCTTGGAGGTATTTAAAAGACTTGTGGTGCTTAGGGACATGTTTTTGTGGTGGATTTGGCAATTAATGTCTGGACTTGATGATCTTAAAGGTCTTTTCTAATGAAAGTTTTCTGATTCTATGACACTAGAGGGACGAGGGAAAAAGTAGCAGCCTTATTTAAGAAGGTTAAGCTGCTACTTTACTTATTTAATCAAAATTTATAACCAATGTTTTATAACCAATGTTTAACCAGATGAAGTTCCCCATATGATCAGTGGAACATAAAATTTTGCCAGGAGAAAATTATTAATCTGCCTCATCACATTCTATCATCAGATATGCTCAGAGCATTTTTAGGTGTCAGTTACTATGCAGTCCCCAGGGTTTTGTTGACATCAGTTCTATATTTAGTTTTATAGTGGTGATTTTGCCCACCTGTTTAGAAACAAACAAACAAACAAAAAAACATCTTAGATAAAACCTATTAAACTAAGTGTAATTTGGAGAGTTGTCAAATGTCTTTCCTCCCCCAGATCTGCCAGGCAAATATCTCTGTGATTAAAACAAAGAAAATAAATTAATCTCCGCCTTCTTATTACAATACAAAGTGCGAGCAGCCAGGAAACATGGCGCAAAACCTGATGGTACACAGTGTCCTTAGATCACTTGGCCATTGTTTTCTCTCACAGCAGCACATGTTAATGATACAAAGAAGCTTAACATTTTTTGGCTTTGGCTTTTCATGTCACAACCATAATAAATGTGCATATTATTGTTTGTATTGCTATATCCTTTATATGCACCGCCAATTTCTAGAGCCGTTCATGCACAGCCAAGGACAGAATTTTGCCCACAAACAGACTGACTGAATAAAGTTAGGCAGAAGCATTGCCATACTGGTTCATCTGTGAAGTAGTGGGTCACAGTACAGGATGTTTAAGTTGTAAAAATGTTGTGTGGGTCAAATCTGCTGCAGAAAGACCAAAGCTTTTTTGCTTTTCACTTACCAATTTAATTCTGCTTTAAAATGTCTTTGTCCTATATGGACCTAAGAAATCCTTAGTTTTATTTATTTAAAAAAACCCAACAATCTTCAAAACAATAAAATGATCAATAGATTGTTAAATCCAGAAGAACATGAAGAAATAAACAGATTTGGGGTTTCTTTTGCTTATCTTAAGGAATTTGGGCCACAGAGAAGAAAATTGAATATGATGAAGAACGAAGAAACAAGTTTTAATGTGGACAATACCCGAGCCTCTCCCTTCTCCCTCTGCCTGCAGCCGCTCAGCCCCATTACAAAGCCACACAGAGCAACACAATTTGATGAAGAATTCAGAACACACCTCTCACATTTCCGCTATGGTCCTCCTCCTCTTGAAAACATGGAAACATTCCAGGGGTCCTTGGAAGGAGGGTCTCGCAAACGTAAGAGCATGCCAACAAAAATGCCTCCTCCCATCACCCTTGAGGATTCCTCATCATCACCAGATCGACCTGAGGATCACGACACGGGCTCTTCTAGTCTCCCCTTGGTGTTCCAACAGCCAACTCAGCCCAAGTACAGTTCCCAGATGATTGACCTCTGCAACTTTGGTTTTCAGTTCTACAGAACTCTGGAGCATTTTGGAGCCAAGCCCATTAAGCAAGAACCAGTGAAGCCTAACATGGCATGGCCCAGCAACCCAGCATTCATGCAGGCTCCTTACCCTTACTATCCTAAAGTCCATCCTGGCTTAATGTTTCCTTTCATTGTACCACCAAACTTTCATTTCAGGAACCCTTTTCAAATGAAAAGACCTACAGAACCACCCTTCAGGAGGGCTGAAGTAAGAGAAAGTGGTGAAAACAAACAGAAAGTGGAAAGAGTAGATGTCAACCTTCAGATAGATGACAGCTACTATGTTGATGTGGGGGGTGAGCAGAAACGCTGGCAATGTCCCATGTGTGAGAAGTCCTACACATCCAAGTACAATTTGGTCACCCATATCTTGGGTCACAGCGGCATTAAACCACATGCTTGCACGCGGTGTGGCAAGCTTTTCAAGCAGCTGAGCCACTTGCACACACATATGTTGACACACCAGGGCACTCGGCCACATAAGTGCCAGGTGTGCCACAAGGCCTTCACTCAAACCAGTCACCTTAAGAGACACATGATGCAACACAGTGATATCAAACCTTACAACTGCAGGATCTGTGGCAGGGGTTTTGCCTACCCCAGTGAGCTGAAAGCACATGAGTCTAAGCATGAGAGTGGACGAGAGAACATTTGTGTGGAGTGTGGTCTGGACTTTCCAACTCTGGCCCAGCTGAAGAGACACCTAACCACCCACCGTGGCCCTATACAGTACAATTGCACCGAGTGTGATAAGACCTTCCAGTACCCAAGTCAGCTGCAAAACCACATGATGAAGCACAAAGACATCCGCCCATACATCTGCACTGAATGCGGCATGGAGTTTGTGCAGCCCCACCACCTGAAGCAACACTCCCTGACTCACAAGGTAAGCCAGCTCTCACCTTGCGTCTGAAGGCAGTATAAGGATTACAGGCAATGAAAGCTACACAAGGGCAGGTACCTCCTCAGAAACGTGGTCTCTTGCCAGCTGCAGAGGCTTACACGGAAACTCCAGCATTGCTGGCAGTTGTATCAGCCAGATGTCTTTGCCAGCCTTAAAAAAGTACATGCAAACACAACTTTGTTATAAGCAGGAATTCAATTAAACCCCCTGTATCACTTCCCCAAACCGGACTCATATCTCTCTGTTTCTTGGGGCTTTTTTCAGAATGACCTTCTGTAAAATTTTTCAAAGCTGTATAACCACCCCATAATCCCAAAATTTTAAAAGATTATTTTTAAGTGAAAGCCAGTTGTGATACTTTATTACCTAGATTAGGAAGTACATGGGTTTGTAGTGGACTGTAGCAAAAAAAAAAAAGAAGTATGTTATTACTCATCAGATTTTGAAGAGTCATTGTAATGAGATGACATTTAAAAAACAAAATAACCCTAAGAAAAATTCCCCTTTGTGCATATGTTATCCAGAATGCCAGTTAATATAAATGGACAAGCAGGATCATAATAACAGCCAATTAATATCAAGTAGCAGTTTTGCCTCTGCTGATAGTGGTGACAGCAGGGCCAGCTTAGGGTACGAGAAAGCTTTGGAACTCTTCCGAAAAGATTGCTTCCAAAAGTAGGAAAAATGCAATTGTCCCATTCAAGAAACTCTGAAATTGACAATCTACTTTTACAAAAATAATAAGAGAAGTCAAATTCTTTCACTTTAAAAAAGGTTGCTTCCAGATTAGCATATTTTTCCTTTAACATTTGAATTTTGGCTTTTACGTGAAAAACATTAGAAATACAGAAAGCTATGGCCCTTGAGTCTTATAGTCAAATATTCTTTGAAAACTGCACAACTTCTACTTCCACATTTGCTTTTTCTTTTCTGCTTCATGCTTATAATTTCTGTTCTTTCTGGAGATTCCCTGCTCTTCAGATTTACCATGCAAGATTCCACTAATTGAAGACCTGGTATATTTTTTTGTCACAGGGAATGAAATGCCACTGAGCCCTTAGAGAGCTTTTGCTTCTTTGTCCACAGCCACAGGTGGATTCACCATGAAAATAATAGTACTTAGCTGACTAAACGCAGCTTCATATCAAATGAGCAGACACTTGAAACTGGTAGTGATGTCCAGTTTTAGCTTTTTAATTAACTGTGAAAACCACTGACAGTCATTTCACATCTTTTTAAAGAAGGGCTGTGGAAGGAGTAATTGCTCTCAGCACCTCGCTAGTAAATCCTTATTACCTTCAGCACATAAAACTCTTCAGCTGTTTAGTAGCAAATTCTTTGATTTTCATAGTATCTAAATCACTGAGAAGCTGACAGATCACATGGGCGTAAGAATATTGAATTATGTAGTCATAAATTGAGTAGATAGCATAAAAAGTGATAGAAATGTTCTATAAACCTCATATAAAATGAAATCATTCCATAGTGGTTACTGAAAATCCCACCAGGAATAAGCAGATATTTCTCTCTGCAATAAATATGAGATGTGTAATCAATAGTTTACTTAGCAACAGAGCAGGAGAGGGAAGCTCTGATGCTGACTATGTTAGATTTATTTGAAAACAGACTTCATTTCTTCATTAAGTTTGTATTTTGTTTTCCTTCTCTGCTTCTCAGAAGCTTGTAAGAATTTGTCAGGAGAAAATACCTTGAAAAATGTTAAAAGTGAAATAATTTATTATCAACTTTGCTAATGCAGAATGAATAATTCATAAATTGCTGTACTGACGATTAAATTACCTAGAAAATTTTACATCTACAGAATTATTTTTTTCAGGGTGTGAAAGAGCACAAATGTGGAATTTGTGGCCGGGAATTTACTCTGCTGGCCAACATGAAGCGACATGTCCTGATCCACACCAATATCAGAGCCTATCAATGCCATTTGTGCTTCAAGAGCTTTGTGCAAAAGCAGACTCTCAAGGCCCACATGATTGTTCACTCTGATGTCAAACCCTTTAAATGCAAGGTAAGTACATTTGGTGGTAGAAATATTATCCTAAAGCATATTTCTCTGATATTGTCATCTTATCATATGTAGAATTAGAAAAACAAACTTGCTAACACATACTGCACTTGTATTCAAAAATTAACATAAACCAGCCTGATTTTCTTTCTTTACCCAGGTTCTGCTTATGTAGCACAAAATAATGGAGATAAATACCTGTGGTTTACTCCCTTTCCCATCAGGATCATTCCTTCTCACATAAGTTTTGGGGTTTTTTCCCTGTGATTGTTGAAGTGCCACAGACATTTGAGGACAAGAACATATCTGACATTTGCTTAGTACAATCATCCAAACAGAAATTTAAGCACTTAATAGCTTGAAACACTGATAAAAAGCAGGAATCAAATCATGCACCCTGCAGAGGATCATGAAAAAGCAGCAGCCAGAATTTCACACAGTGATGCTATGCAACAGTTCAAGAAAGGGGTTAGAAAAAGCCACAGCAAAATAAAACTACAGAAGGGATTTGAATGGGTAGAGTGTAATTACCAGACTGGAATTCAAGTCAGGATATTAGTATGCTAACAAAATAGCCTCTGAGACCACCTGGCCTTTCTACAGTCCTTCAACTTCCAGTTTGCTGCTGCCCCCCAGCACTGGAGGCTGGCATTCCATTTCCATCCTCTATTCTCCTCCCTCCCCATAAACCCTAAAGACTTTATTGATCCTGTTTACTTCTAATACATTTCTTATGAATTATTCATATCTATATTCTTGTTCAGTACTGGATGCTACATAAGTTCTTTTGCTGCCTTCAGTGTTCCAATGCCTATCTGGTTCATTACTGATGTCGTACTTTGTGAAGTCAAAGGCTGGAGATTTCCCACTTTAATTTGTTCTAAGATGGCTGTAAATACAGAGTGGAGCATATTACCGAGGTTATGCATAAGAAACTAAAGACTGATTGAAAGCAATTTCTAGAACTCTTTCATTCTACATCTCTATGGTATTGATATTTTCTTAAAAGGAATTTCTCATGAAGAAGCAGAGATGGATGAAAAATTTAAATGGAATTATTTCATTTTTTCATCATATTTAATTCATATGATCCTTATTTCATCTTGAAAAAATGTAGAATTTCAAAATGTCATAGGAATATATGATGTTCAGTGCTGGTTTTAGTAAAAAAATGTCATAATGAATATTTCTGACTTCATAATTTTTCTTTCTTAGCGTCAAAACATTTTACTTCGAAAAACTAGCAGCCAAGTCTTCCACCTTCAGTACTTTGTTCTAATTTATGTCTTATGAAAGTAGTATGTTGTGTAGTAGTGCTTACATTACTCTATATTGATAAAAGAATTTCTTTTACTGAAATTCTATGTGTAACAAGTCAGGCCTGCTGGAGGTTTTCATTCTTTGAGAGCATCTGCAAACATGCCTTGTTGTTCCCATTTGGTTGAAGTCATTCTCTGACTCCTCAAACTTCAGAAAAGAATCTCAAATTTTGGGTCAGATTTTGTGGGTGCAGTATATGGATCCACATGACTTTTTGGGTACGTGCAGATTAGCTGGAAGGTTGTGTTCAGCTCAGTGTTTGATGATGCCAGACTATTGAAACTTGGAGAGGGCAATAGTTGGAACTGGGAAATAGAGTATAACCAGTATGTTTTCCAGACAGTAACAAAAGCTCTACAGGAACACCTGTTTTTCTTATTTTTTTACTTTTCTGTCCCACCCAGTGTTCCAATGAGGAAAGAAACAAGTAAGCATAGTGAATCTGTTTCTCATATGTCTGAAGGGGTATGAATCGGCATCAGTGCCTCTGACAGTGAAGATTGCAACAATAAGCAGACACAGAATCAGGAATTGTTCTTTTGCATTAGGAACAGCCTAAGATTACCTGTCTGATAGAGCCCCTGAAGACTCTTGAAGGCAAATATTTCTGGCTGGTACTTGGAGGGTTAAGGCAATGACCAGATAGCAGCCTTTTGGCACCAAGCTCCTCCTCAGCAGAAGGAAGGATATAGCTGTATGAACAGCCTGCTTAACAATGGCTCACATGTCCCTGGGGAACCGCCTGCAAATAGATTTCATCTTGCTTTCTCTTGTACTTTTCAAAGCTTCCTGTTTTCTCACGGTCCTTTTGGACAGTTTACAGTCATTCTCCCTCTCCTTCTTTCTTTGAGGAAAGGAACACCCTTCTTATAAAGAAAAAAAAAGAAGAAGAATGCAAGGGAAAGAGAGCACAGCAGTAGCCTTTATACTTCACCGCATGCAATGGTTTTCTTTACCTTTTTCTCACAGCAAAAGAAAACATGAGCTTTCCTATGTGTCTAATCACAGCTAAGCACATACTATCAGAATTGAGGGAGTAGCAAATAGTTGTCCCTTCTGTTTCCTCACCCAGCTGCAGCCTGGATCTCTGTTTGATTTTCTGCTGAAGAGTCAACTTGTCTGTAGTATTTAAAGGCCTGAGCCCATGTTGCCTTGTTTATTTCTGTTTAAGAGGGAAAAAAAAAACCCACTGAAGAGTTATGAAGGTATTCCAACAACTGGTGCAACAGTACTAATTTGGATTTGTATAGAAAGGTTCCATGAAATTTACTGTTGCTTTTAGTGCTGAAGTAATCAATTTTTCATACTTCCAGTAAAGGATGCAATGGATCTTTCTTCAGCTCAGACAAATATCTGTAACAGATGTTTTGAACACCACTTTTTTCTCTATCTAAAAATGTGGTTTTTAATCAGAAAGAGAGAAGTACTTTGAGAAGGAACAAAACGGGTGGCCAATCTAGAAGGATGATACTTCACGTGCTGGCTTAAGAGGAAAAAAATCTAGGCTGGAACTAATGTAGACTATTCTAGCAAACTATGCTGAAGTCCATTTCACCAGCCAGTGCAACTATGTCTGTTCAGCAGACTTGCAGCTGAGTTGTTCTCTTCAAGATTTTAATTTTATTTTGTTCTAAACATTTTGTTGAAGATTATTTTGTTAGACAGCCTAACAGAAAGTCCACAAGTAAACCATGTTGTTCCTGATATCCCAAGTTCTCTTGCATAAACTTTTCACCTCCCTGAGTGCCATCGTGCATTGGGTTCTGCTGGAGCTCCTCCCATGCAGCTGTCTCAGGATCATCTTTCACACTCTGCTCACAAGGCTGTCATGTCAGAGAGAAAGAAAATCTTGTACAGGCTTCTAATTTGATCTGCAGATTCAAGCTCTTCATTGAGCATTAGCTATGTACTCCAGCTAGATTTGAATTGCAGTCTCCTAGCATACAAGTGAGAAACCTATTTCCTTTTACATCTGGATCATAGATATTCATCTGAAAGATGTCTCCTGCCTTTTTTAAGTGACCAGTAAAACAAAGATTATGCCACAGAGACGCATCATTCCAAAAACCAATTTTCCTATCTGCATTTCTTTAATTTTCCTGCCACACCTCTGCACTCTAGTACCATTTCCTTATGTCCCCAAAGGAGAATTCAGGGCAAGAACACATTACACATTTTGAAGATGTGCCTGACTCTGGGAAATGGAAAACCCATCAACTTTATTCAGACACAGAACTTTTATGCCATAAAGAAATAACCTTTACCAAGTCCCTGTCTTTTCAGTAAGAGGAAAGACAAACAAATATTGCCTTGACAGAAAGTAAATGGTCCTCCTAAATAAATTTTAATACTCAAGACCTTATAAAGATAAGTGTTTGCATGCAGTACTGAAGCCACTCATCCACTCAACATGATTTTCCTTGGTTACCAGTTCAGACAGAGAAGATGTAGATATAAGAAAGCAGGTTCTGGTGATAACGTATGTCAGCCACAATCCAAGCAGATAACCAGAAGCCTTCAGCAAAGAGGTGTAAGAGAGATATTATTGTTGACATTCTTGCAACAAGAGTAATATTGACAAGTTATAGGTTATTCCCGCAGCTGTCAAGATACAATCAGCTGCTGGTTACTCCTTGCTAATTTTCTGTGCTCATTAGTAGTCTCAGTAGATGAGAGTCTGATTCCTCCCAGCACTTTCTGAGGTATTTTGTGGTTCTATAATTTCTCTGAGTGTACATAATCCTACATATTAACTTTCTTTGAACATGAAGAAGACAGTATTCTTTCCTCAGTGGCTGGATGACCCTTGGAAGCAGCCATCTTACTTTTAAAAATTAATTACTCACTTTCAGTGGCTATTCCTTTTTTCCACCAATGGTCATGTCTAACACTTTGCGATAAATTTATTTGCTAGAGTTTTCATTTTAGTAAAATCACAGACAGAAAAACACAAATGGTACATATGCAGCTGAAGCGAATAACTTTTTGAAAAACAAGTGAATGTTTTCAGAATCTGTCTTTTTACAGCTCTGACTCAGCTCTAGTTTTTATTTTAAAACAGTAGACCTGCTAATTTTTATATTTATGAACTAATTCAATTTTTCCTCAAGAGAAGTCTTAAAAGACAAAGCATACAGTACTTCTTTTCCAAGGATCCTTTCGCTATTTACATTTCATCCAGATATTCTAAGTGATGACTTTCTGAATTTACATCTACAAGTTCTATATCAGTTCTTCTGTAATACCAAATAAGTAAAAATTGAATCCACATTATATAAAAAAATCTGGTGGAGTCTTAGTAATTTCTATTTATTAATTGTCTGCCAGATGGTTACCCTGCTAGATGAAGGTTTCAGTTACTCAGTAATGGTGACTCTGGTTAATATAGTAATAAGAATAATTTAAAAAAAATTAGATCCAATGATAAAACAAGTCAGGAAAAAAAAAAGGTATAAAGCAAGCACAGAAGTTTGCAGAGGATGGAAATAGCCACTTGAATGTGAACAAAATTATAAATCCTGGTAAGGAAAGACCAGAAGATAAGTAAGACTGGGTGGCTGTAATAGTGATGTCAAACTCTCATGTCTTAAGAGTACATAAGAGTCCAGACTACAAAAGGACCCATCTAAATAAACAACAATGAATTAAACCCACTGGTATTGTTCCATCAAAGGAAAAATTTCACGATCAATGGCTTAAGCTGGCAGGAACATGCTTCAGGGAAAGCTGAGTCATTCTTGCAGCCTCATGACTGTTTAAATTGCAGCTTACTCACCAGAGACACCAAAACACAGGAGTTGATAAACAAATGATGAAAGAATCAGGGGAAATAAAGAGTGAGAAAGAAACACAGAAAAACAAGGAATTGCTTTTTCTAGCTTTAAGCAAAATGTGCAGCCATTTAATTTCCATTTAAAAATAAGTAATATTCTGTTACTTTGACTGTTTCACAGAAACACTTAGTTGGTTTTATTTTATAATTCCATTCCTGCCTGACATTGTAGTTGATTAAAGGCTAGATGTATAAACTACAAATGGAATGGTTCACCGGGGCAGAAACTTTTACTTTGAATCTCATTCAAGTTATGAGTCTTCCAGATTACTCCCTTAAGTCTTTCCCCTCCTTACAACAACATTGACTGCTTTTGGGGAATCCTGCACTATATGTGCTGGTCACCAATATAAAAAAATATCAGCAGTTCAGAGTGCCTTAGATACCACATGTTTTTGCCTGTAGGATTTTGATGGAACTTTGAAAAACTTATTACAGCCAAAAACTGCCAGAATTTAAGTTGAGAAGTGTAGGTCCTCTTTCCTTTAAAATTTTGTCCTTGAAAATACTGCTTCAAACTAATAATTTTCATTTTTACCATTTTTACAGCTGTGTGGAAAGGAGTTTAACAGAATGCACAATTTAATGGGACACATGCACTTGCACTCAGATAGTAAGCCATTTAAGTGCCTCTACTGTCCCAGCAAATTCACCTTGAAGGGGAACCTAACCAGGCACATGAAAGTCAAACATGGAGTCATGGAAAGAGGATTTCACTCTCAAGGTAATAATTTTCAGCGAGATTATTCTCTGTGAGATCTGAATATGCATATCAGTAAATACAAATGGGCTTTGTATGACAGATCCACAAACTTGTGCCATAGATCCAACGTTATTGCAAGAGGTAGAATCCCATAAGCCTGTGAAGTTGTTATTAGCTATATTACTATACCATTACATGGCGGCATTACGTGTCCCAAATAAATCATAAATTAATCCTAATTTGACAGAAAAAGAAAATCTGAAACACTTATGGTCCTTTCTGATAGTCTGGAGCAGGAATGGAATCTTCAATGGCTCTACATCCAGGAGCCTTGGTCATTCTGTACTGTATTGGCATAGCTGGTGCCACATGAATACCACAGGCTCAAGATCCCATTTACAAGGAAGCACATGAATAGGAGGGGATATTCCTCAAAGTATAAGTCTCACAGTATAAGGATTTTTGACTACTGAGGGCATCCTGTGAAACATTTCCTGTCTGCCACTTACCACATACACTTCCTGAAGTCATCCTCATGTGTGTAAACAGATCAATGCTATCTAAAGAAGTGAGGGAATTAGGGAGAATTTTTGAGGGCTTGGGTATCCAAGATCCCTTTTTTAAGTATATGAATAATTCTTTAGTGGGCAAGATTTCTTGGCATTTCTCATATATTCAAACTTTAGGGTGGCTTAGCACATGTGCAAAACACTTACTCTAATGACATTTGGTGTAAATTTTTTGAAGATCCTAATGGCTAATGAAATAACTATTTTTTTCTGTAAATCTTCTACAGCATCATGCTAGTTAGAGAATTGCTCGTAATTGGAGATTGCCTAAAATCTTTTCATTGTACAGAGATTCTGCAGCCCTTGAGGCTTATCAATTATGAGAAAATTTGTGAGGTCTGATGCCTGTTTATGAATCCTTTTAACAAATACACCTTCTTGCAAAATAAAATCTGCTGTTTAGTGATACGGCATAGATCCTTCATAAACTTGATTCAATTACTGAGGGGAAAGTAAAAAACAAAGGAAACAAGAGCAGGTAAAATTGTGACTTTCATAGGTATTGGGTGAAGTCCTCACTTTGTCATTAGTCTTTAATGAAGCTGGTCTATGCCTATAGTATCTGATTTTTTAAAATATATCCTGATGATGTTTGGAGCGTTTTTGAGTCCACAGATGCCTCTTGGATAATCTGTATTTTCAGCAAGAGGGAAGACACTGACAAATACTAAGCCAAACCAGATCCAGGATTAGATGTATATTCATATACACTGCTCAAAATCATCATTTGTTTATAATGATTCCCTCAAGCTGAAGCACTGTCTAGTGCATAGAGCTTTTCCACTGATTTTTTCTCAGTGGATGAAAGGGGAAAAATTAAGGACAATCATAGGCTGCTGAGACTGTTGTCTTTTCATTTGTAAACTATTAACTTTGAACCCCAGTGTCCATAGAACAAATACATTACCATGTTTTTAGTCTCTTCCACGCCTCTGAAACATAAGATACAAAACATGGGACTTCAATTATGGACTGTGGTGCTTTAGATTCAAGTTTTATTTTAGAAAAATAATAGGAAGGAGGAAGTGAGTACGTTGAGACAAAATTCAGTTTACAAAAGGCCAGACCATTTCACTTTTCTTCCCAGCTGCACCATCCAGAGTCTGGCTGAATAGAAGAATATTTTGTGTGTCCTAACTTGGCTGTGAAGCGTAAACAATAGCACTCCTTTTTGCAGCATCTCGAAGGAGATGCCATGAGATGTAAATAGTGAAGTACTTGGAGATAGCTGGATGGATGACAAAGTTAAAAAATTAAATACAAAGACACCTCAGATTTTGTTTTTTAGCCATGCATCAAGTAGTAAAAATTCCTATATATAATTTTTTCCTTCTCTCCTCCCCTCAAACCACTACAAGGTTTTGGAAGAGGAAGGATTGCTCTGTCCCAGACAAATGTCTTGAGAAGCTTGGAACAGGAAGAGCCATTTGATCTGTCCCAGAAAAGCCAAGGGAAGGGTATCTCATTTCATTCTGATGGTGAGAGTGCCAAGGGAAGCTCATGCCAGGAAGAAGAGGAAGACAACTGCTATGAGGTGGAACGATACAGCCCTGCCACGTACCATCATGATGACAACAAGCTGTACATGGCTCAAGATCTCTCTGGCAAACCTGAGTGCATGATGAAGGACTTCAGAGAGTCCTACTGCAATGAGAAGGAAGAGGTGTTAAGTGAGGGAGGACTGGGGAAGACAATAGGAAATTCAGACAAAGAGGAGAGACGTGGAGAGGGAGAGCTTGCAAACAGCAAAGAACATCTCAGCTTTAGATCCTTTGAAAAGGCCAGACTTGGTCACTCTCTCTCTGATTACTTGTATTTCAAGCACAAGAACAAGAGTTTGAAAGAATTGCTGGAAAGAAAAATGGAAAAACAAACAATGCTTCTAGGCATTTAAAATGGACATTTTTAAAACAGCTGGAAAATGGTAACCAGGTAGATTTTAACGTGAATTGTAAGCTACTAAAGTCTGGAAGTCTGTAGTAGTATTTAGAAATAAATAAGCCAAATTATTAAAAATAATTTAGGGTAAACCACATACATTAAAAGAATAAAATAGCTTGAGGTCACCAAGAAATGCAATAGATATTGAAAAATAACACTTTAATATTTATCCGTTTAATGTATAACAGACAATGGGTTGGGTACAGAAGTTTACTTCCTATTATATGGGGATAGATACTTACATGCAATTTTCTACTTAGCAGAAAGCAACATATTTTAGCATCTGATTTCTTATCTGACTAAATATATATGAAAACTTCTAACCATATGCCTCAAAAATATCTGAATATACAAAGTATTTCACATTATAAGCCAGAGTACTATTAGACATGGCATGCATGAAAGTGCTTCAACATTCAGAACTAACACATTCCAAATATTTGATTTACTGAAGTGACTCTTAGTGCAACTACTTACAATGAGAAATGTGAAACAAAATAATAAGAAGAACTAATGTCTAGGGAGGCAGTAAAGGACAGTTCTCTAAGACTTTAAAAGGAATTTATTACAAAAGCTAGTTCTCTAGCACAAGGAATATTTGTGCTTTGCTGTGTTTCAGCCAGTATGGGAGTGTTCAGAAATTCTTGAAGTGGAATAGCATAGATTGTGTTGACATTTTGTTCTACTGCCTGCTTGGACCAACACATGTACTGGGTGGCATCAGCATGCTGTATTCACAATCTTGCCATAGTTACACATAACACAGTATGAGTAATTCAAAATGAAAAAATTATGCAGCTTTACCATTTATCTCTTCAGTTTATCATTGCTAGTAAGGATAATTTTGGAATACACAGATCTGGTCATTTTTTGTTTCAGGGGGTAAAAACCATCCTTCCAGAACAAGCAGTACCTCACAGAGGAAAACTTTCCTCTTATTAAGGTCAGAAAACTTCTCTTATTAAACACTTCTTGAGCAGTAAGTGGCAGGCCTTTCAGACAAATTTCACTCATGCTGTTTTTATGGAGTCAAACTCAGCTTTTCATCCTCTGATTCCCCTACAGTTATAAGCTTATAACCGACATGGGAAAAGCATATTGATTAAACTTTTAATTAATGACATAAATACTTTGAACAGCATATTAGTTCCTATATATTCAAGAAAGATGAGAAGCAGCCCTGAATCGTCCTATTGCTTACGTGGAAATAAAAATTCAATTAATCATAAAATTTGTCCTATGTCCTTTGGACATCCCAGCTCAAAAGGTTAAAATCCATATATATGGTACATCTCTTCCAAATATTACTGCCTTCTTCACTTACCTGCTGAGTTCTTGATTTGAAATGCATTGCAATCATGCTCTCTATATAGCAAGTTATAATTAAATATAGTCATCTACTTTTGTGGCTTGCTAAGACCAGTCATGTAGCTGCAGCTCTCTGCCCCTATGAGAAAACACACACCTCTCAAATTAATGATCCTCATGCCTACCAGTTAAGCAGCATTCACAGGGCAAGGTCCTTATTTTTCATATAACTGGGTTTGTGTAGTCCAAGGCTACAGGCAGTGTTTTCCTTTTTCAAGGCTCAAACATGGCATAACACATGCAGAAATTCATGCAGAAAAAGCTATTGATAAAAGAAAGAGTAACATCCAGGTGACTTTCCTAAATTAAATCTATGTCTGATGTGCATATTTTTAAAAATAAAAATGTCATGCCAAATTGAACTGGAAGGTAGGTCACTTTAGAATTTAAAAAGTCTTTGAGGTGTATTTTAGAGGTCCGTGGTCATGTTTCTTCAGGGATTAACTCTTTTATCATAAACATTCCTCTTCCTTGCTTTAGCTGTAAGACAATGCCTATTGAAAAAGGAGCCATCTTTCTTTCAAGGAAGATGTTGTGGTCAAGCAAAAAGGGAAATTTTTAGAATAATGAGTGAAACTGTACTATTTCTTAGATGTTAGGGGAAGTGATCGGGTAGAAATTCAGCATGGTCTAGTAGATAGTCCCTCAGAAATGGGAGCAACTCCTTCAGTTAACTTATTGGCACTAGCCTTGTCTCTACCAGACAAAAGCTTCATGTGAGCATGTATACAGCCAAGAGCTGGGAGTAGCTAACTCTTAGAATTTTCTCCCTCTTGGTAGTGTAGTTTCCAGCTGTGCGTGGTTCAGTATCAGTTAGCTCCACATTTCCAGAGGTATTCATTTACATGATAAGAGGGACAAGCAAGGAATCGGGAATCTCTTTGCAATTTCTAGAAAGGTGATCATGCAGGTGGGTGGAATTTAGCAAGTCCTTCAGTCCTGTGGTGTGTAAAGCAGGAAAGTATACTGCCCTTCCGTTGCAAACTCTTGTCTATTAATTGGAGAGTGCTATGGGACATCTAGACAATTCTTATCAAGAAAGAAACAAAGTATTATATACCAATTGCAGTCCAGACAAATGGAGCAAAAGAGACATTTTCAGCAGAGTTCAGCTCCCAGCCACTAATATCATAGGATGCATTCTATCTGGGCTTTAGCAAAGGCTTTGATACATTATCCATGGCATTCTCCCAGAAAAGCTGACAGCTTGTGGGCGGATGAAGTCTTTGTTTGGGTTAAAACATGGCTGTATGGCCAGGCCCAGAGAGTGGTGATTAATGGAGTTAACTGCAGTTGGCAGACAGTCACCAGTGGTGTTGCCCAGGGGTCAGCACTGGGCCCAGCCCTGTTTATATGTTTAATATCTTTATTAGCCATCTGGATGTGGGGATGGAGAACCCCCTCAGTCACTTAACTGATAACACCAAGCTGGGTGGGAGTGCTGACCTGCTGGAGGGCAGGAAGGCTCTGCAGAGGGATTTGGACAGGCTGGATCATGGCTGAGCCCAGTGGTGTGAGGCTCAATAAGGCCCAGTGCTGGGTCCTGCCCTTGGGTCACAGCAAGCCCAGGCAGTGCCACAGGCTGGGGCAGAGTGGCTGCAAAGCTGCCCCAGGAAAAGGCCCTGGGGTGCTGGTGACAGCAGCTGAGCATGAGCCAGCAGTGCCCAGGTGGCCAAGAAGGCCAATGGCATCCTGGTCTGTGCCAGCAATGGTGTGGCAGCAGGAGCAGGGCAGGGACTGACCCCTGTGCTGGGCACTGGTGAGGCCACACTTCAAATCCTGTGTCCAATTTTGGGCCTTTCACTCCAAGAAAGACATTGAGGTGCTGGAGCATGTCCAGAGAAGGGCTACAAGTCAGATATCCCTGCAGGTGTTCAATAAATGATCAGATGTAGGACTTAGTCTAGTTGACCAGGTGGTGATTGCTTAAACATTGGAGTTCATGATATTAAGAGGTCTTTTCTTACCTAAATGCTTCTGTGATTGTGTGATTCTGCAACTGCAAAAACTATGTTTATTGGAAGCATGCAGTCCAGGGTTTCCTTACTGACCTTGTAAGAGAATGTGCCAGATGTGTCCTTAGGAAAGGAAATCACTGCAGACAGTTCTGGGTTGTCTAAATGGTTACTCCAAACTCCTTCAACCACACTCCCTGCTTCAATTTACCCACTTCTATAGGTGCAGTTATCACTGGAGCCAAAGTACTGGACAACTACATACAGCTGGGAAATAATCCCAGAATGGCAATACTATTTGCAAGTATTTCATAATGCGAACTCTTTTTAATCGCATTTTACTAGAAAGCAGAGTATTTCTTCACAATGGGACTTTGAGATTCTGCCCAGACACAAAGTCATACTAAGATAATTCTCAAACAAGCAAGTCTAATTAATGTCAGAATAGTAAAAACCTAATTTAAAACTGTAAATTATGAATAAGAGAAATTACAAACAAAATTATTACTGAAGTAAGAAGACAGTGCCAAGTGACCCAAGCAAAGTGGTTAGAAGATGACAGTCCTCCCTACTGTAGAACATAATGTAGATGGGTCTGTGGCACTTGTTACAAAGAGGCCTCAAGGGACAAATTAAAAGTGAAATAACAGCCTTCATTGTGAAGCACCTTGCTTTTCAAACATAAGTTATTTTCACACTATTTACATTGGCACAGCTTTGGGAACAGATAGTAACAGCCTTTGCTTTTTAATAGCTTTGAAAATGCTTTATAGAGATTTGCTCTCATAATGAAGCTATTTCCCATTTATAATTTTCAAGGGATTAGCTTCCTTATTTTGCCTTGTGGAGAGGCTCAGAAGTCCAGTAGAGACATTGCCTGTGTCCTGGACATTGGGGGATATATTTTCTTCTTTTTCTCATTCCTAATGTGAGTTTATCTCTTGTCTTCTAGCTCTGTTGTGGGGGAAAAAAGGGGCTTTATCTTACTACTGTTCAGTGTTATTTGGGTTTTCATTTTATGGGGACATATGAAGCTAAAGCCCAGTCTCCACCACCTCCATATAAAAGCACATCTATACCATTTGCCTGCATTGTTTATGCAGCCTTGTTTCATCCTTCCCGAGAGCATTACAGCAAATAAGAGTGGCTACAAACTTGCACAGCTGAAATGCTTCCAGAAGTCAGGCTGAGGAAAAGATAAATTTGCCCTAGCATAAAGAGTCTGGGCAAGTGAAGGCATGTGGTTTGTTAAGTTAGGGGTTTTTCTGATGTTAAGGGTAGCAGGGAGAGTTCTGCAAGACGCTTTGGAGCACAGAGTAGGTGGAGGAAAACCCAAAATCTGAGCTAGTATCGTTTAAGGGTGAAGATAGAGAATATATTTAAAGGAAAAGCAAAGTTGTACGTGACCTCAGAGCAAAGTATTTTCAGTCTGGCCACAAGGACTCAGCTGTCTCCTTGTGAAACTGAGTTTTCCTGGCTGCCAGACAGCCTTCAATTTGTGACAGCAAAGACAGGTGCTCTGTGTTCAGAAGCTCAAAGGGTAAAATACATTGTGATTAATGTAATAATTAAAGTTTATTCTGTGCTCTTTCCTGTAAAACAAGTTAGTGGAAAGACCAAGTAATGCTACTGCACCCACCTTTTTACAACTCTGTGTTTGTCTACTACCTATTCTTTGATTTCTCTCTTCATATGGTGCTGCTCGACTCTGCTGTTTTGAGTGTACAGTTAAGAAGTAATATAAGTACCATATTTATTATTCCTAGAAGTTTTAATAATTATTAACAGTTTTGAAAATGTCATGTCTGCTTAGCTGAACAAGATGTAACAGAGCTAACATTTTGTACTCCTAACAGATTTTGCAAATAATGTGTTGCATATTTATTTCATGTAGAACATTGAGTTCCTGTTTAAAGCCACAGCTTGTGAAGTGAACAAACTATATGTGAATCTTTAGTTTCTGGCTTTCTATCTCAATAGTAAAAGCATGTATGATGTATTGTATTAATTTAAGCAAATAAATATGTACTGGAGAAGCTGCTGTACTTTGTATTGAAATGGATATGGAGTTCTTGGCATTCTAGGTACTTTATATGGCAAATGCATGGGTTTGGTCTGACAAGGTAATTCTTCTCTGAGCATCCCTGAAGAGTGGTTCTTGTTAAAGGAAGGCTAAATCCATGATGGAGGACTAGTTAGAAGGCAAGAGCAGAAGAGCTGCCAGGTCCTTTAAGGCAGAGAGATAACTTTTTCATTACAGACTACATGGAGGACATAAAAATGCTCTGGAGTGATTATGGTATTTGTCAACTTGGCTTCAGACAAGCTAAAAGAGAAAGATCTTTTTCTTAGAGATTTTTTGAAGCACTGCATCATGTAAAAAGAGAGGAAAAAACAACCAGATGTATTGTAAGATTGAAGTTAAAAAATAGAAATACCATTATATTAAGGAATAAGAAGAAGATTGAAATGAGAGATTTAATGTTGCTTTTTCTAAAGGAAAGGGTCACTTTTAAATACTAACTAACCTCTTGAATTTGTTTGTTCAAATGAGACCCTAATTGAATTGGCATCATCCAGACTTCCATCCAGACAGAGAGAATTTCAAACTTTTTGAACATAGGGAAAGGAACAGGGATGCTTGCTATAAGATAAATAATAACAAAGATACTCTGTTTCTAATTCTCAGAGATATATGCCTTAAAAAGTGGAAGAGGGCTTATGCGAACACTAGAAATACATGCTGGAGGCTAAAATAGAACTCCAGAACTAAGCCTTTGTTTTTTCCCCCATCTTCTTTTGTTTTTCCTGATGCTTTGATGGTAGGTAACAACTACTATTAGGATTATAGACTACCTCTACATGAGGAGGATGAAGATATGTTGGAGAGTGACCTAGCTCATTCCCGTGTGACTCAGTATAAGTGAATCTCAAAGTTTCTCCTTTGAAACTCAGTTAGAAAAATATGATTTGGAAAAAATATATGTTTGAATTTTTCACAAAGTTCCTCTTCAACTTAGTTCAAAACTGAGCCATGTTCACTTAAGTTTTAAATTACACTTTCAAACCATCAGAAATTAATTAGAAGAGAAAGAAAGCCTCTCAAATGCTCCTGGGGGGCATTTTTGTGAAAATCGTGACATCTTGAAAGGCCCAGAGTATCTAAAGGTATGGAGATAGCCAAATTATTATACAACCTCTTACCAAATTTTTCCCATTAATACACTCTTAGGTTCATGTAGTATGATACAGTTTAATGTATTTGCCCACAGATTTTCCTAAAGTGAAAATCTTATCTAAAAAACACATGCAGGATGTCAGTAATTTCAGCATTTGCAAATGATCAAACACACTGCTAATGCTACTTCTATATATGACAATGTGTGATATGATGGGGTATGCTATATGATGAATCATATAGCATGGATTTTCGTAATGATTGCCTGTAATGAAAGTACAGCTGAACAGAGAACAGATACATTATGAAGAAGTCTTCTGGTGTCCTGTCATTTTGATTATGCTCTCTGAAAATATACTTTACATCTATCCCATTACAGAAAGAATTTAATTTAGATGAGGCCAGACTTTCCCTTTACTGAATTATTTCCTGTACTGACGTATTTCTTGTAGTGAGAACATTTTATTCAAAAGACCTCTATCAATTTACACTAGTAGAGAATGTTAGCTTGTGTTTTTGGAGTTGGGATTCTCTGGTTATACTGCACTTTTTTCAGTACTTAAATACTCTTACACTTCTGAATGGAAAATCACTGAGGAATAAATTATTCAAGACACTAAATTATTATTCAAGATGCTAAAAAATTCAAGAACTAATTAACCAACTAAAAATGGGTTGCTGTAAAACTGACAATGATGGGGTTGTGTGAAAACTAGTAAGATATTTCTACCTTGTGGAGGACTATTATGAAGTTAACGGAGATAGGAACTGTCTAATAATGCCACAGAAGGTGTCACATAAATGTCTCTTAAAGAAATACAGTTATACAAGATAACTGGCAGATATAAACCCAGAAGAATATATATTGATACAGGGTGATATGTGGCAAGGGAATTCTGCAAATTGCTTTATTCTTTACAGAATTTCTACTACAAATTATACAACTTTTCTAGAAACAGTAAGTCATGATTTAAACCGATTGTTTCGTGATTTGATACTGCTACATCATCAGTAATCATGATTTTTAAATCTATTGGTTTCAAAGGCCAAGATGATTTTTCAAAATCAGGTTATAAAGCTAACCAGCAACATAAATCTAATGACTACTGACAACTGTGGCATAGTCTTGCTGTGAAGAAAGTTACACTGAAATTGAAACTGTGCTGTGCCTAGTACAATCTGTCCTGGAGGCCTGTGAGAGCAGCACCAAGATCAGACAGGTCCAAAATTATGTAGGTATGATAAACATACATGCAGACACTGCCTGGAAGCTTGATCTTACTTTGGTGGAAAGCATTAAAAGCCATTCCCTAGTGAGAGTTTTTCTGAAAGCTACCGCATAGCAGTAGCAGCTAATCCTTCTGAATGGATTGTATGAGGCAGACTTCACATGAACAGTCAAGACTAGACACCAGCTAAACTAATTCCACTGAAATGTTTCCTACAGAAATGTCTGGGGTTGCTCACGACCAG